TAGGCAGTCTTGGCACCATTAATAGTGTTTTCATTATAGGTAGTTTTTAATTTTTTGGGTGTGTTAGGTAAGACTGGCTGGGTCTGGTGGTGATGCAAAGCCCAGTTTTAAAGATTTTCTATTGTGGAGTTATTACTGTGTTGCCAAGTCTGGCCTCATACTCGTGGACCCAGGATCCGTGCAGCCTTACCCTCCCAATAAGCTGCACTATTGGCCGCCCCACCACATCCTACTCAGATTTCCCCCCCTTAAAACAAAATTATTTCAGCAAAACCCGACTCAGTTTGTGGAGGAAGAAGAAATACTCATGAATGCTGGCAACCGTATAGAAAGTTGAACACAACATTCCTGCATTGGGAAGAAGACGGTATTTTAAAGTTTTTTCTTCTGTCATTGGATCTGACAGGCCAGTTCTTTTCTTCAAACTCTTGTCCTGGGGGAGCACACACTGTGAAGGCATATTCAGTATGTATGCCATTGTGCTCACCACACAATTTGTAATTGGTTATCACAAGTGACACAGGTCTTAAAGTAACTGTGCACTCTAAATAATTTTGTATGTATTTTCTTCCCCCTCCACCAACCATTATATCCCATCATTATCCTTTATGCTTTTGGTGTAATTCCCTAGTTTGCTGTGTCCTTCTTCATACTCCTTTAAGAGTTTATTTTGGATTAACTGGTAGCATGCATTCCCACTGCTAAATCACTGCCATTCCCTGATAGGGTATGTACCTCCCCAAGTAATTTGCCTGGGACGAGAAAATTGTCACATGTGCTTTGCAACAGGAATGCTTTTGGGGAAGGACATCTTTTTGGAAATGCTCAGATTGGTTACCTGACTGTCATTTTTTCACTTTATTTCAATAAGAGGACAGAGCTACCGAAGTTGTTGAAATTAAAACATATAAGCAGCTATGGCAAATACATTTTAAAACTTATTTTGAAACTTTGTTTACAAATTTATTTAGCATGAAGAAAGCAGTGCCGCTGATAAATGCAATAGATACCGGACGGTTCCCACGCCTTCTTATCCGAATTCTTCAAAAGCTCCACCTGAAGGTTTGCATTTCTGTATTCCTGTGGCTTGTGACCCCTCTGACTCCCCTGAATATTTGGAGAATATAGGAAATATTGTTCTTTTGTGTGTTCTCAGGAACTCTAGATCCGTGAAAGATTTGGTAATGTTCTCTGGTCAAAAGTTTGGAAAACTTCATATTCTATAATTAACTTTAGAAAATGGAGCTTTCCAGAATATTTTGCATTCTAATGTTTGGGTCATATATTTAAGGGCGAAGGTTTGACTTTGTAGCTGTTTTGTCTTGGTATATAACGTTCTGTGAAACATACTTTAGGAAAAGGCTGATTTAGTTCTTCCTGGTAACAATAGTTCAGCTCAGGGCTGGAGAGATGGCCCAGTGGTCAAGAGCATGTATCGGTCTTACAGAGGACTTGTGTTTAGTTCCCAGAACCCACTTAATTGCTCTTAACCACCTGTAACTCCAGATCTAGGGATTTGATGCCTTCTTCTGGCTTTCATGGGCTCCTACAGGTACATGGCGCATGTAAACTCATGAAGACACCATGCATACATGTACAAATAATCAATAAATCTTAAAAATAATTCAGTCAATATTTTTTTTCACTGTAAGCAGAGTTTTTGTCAGGACTGCCAGCCTGCTCTGTCCCATCAGTTGGCTCCCAAATAAATACAAAGAGGCTAACTATTAATTATAAATGTTCAGCCAATAGTTCAGGCCAGTTACTAGCTAACTCTTACATTTTAAATTAACCCATATTTCTTATCTACCCTCTACCATGTGGCTGTACCTTCTTTTGGCAAAGCATGTTCATCTGGCCTCTGTCTGCATCTTTGGAGACTCTTCAGATTCCATCCTTCTTCTTTACAGCAATCTCTCTGTCCTGAAAATCCTGCCTAGCTATTGGCCAATTAGCTTGCATTTACAGTGAGAGCAACACATTTTCACAGTGTACAAAAGGATTATTCCACAGCATCTCAATTAGTATTTAATCTCTGGTTTTTCTCTTTGCTTTTATATCCAGGGTACAGTTGGTTTGGCCATGTGGATGCTTGGTAATTAAGTCATTATTTGGAAACCAGTTCAACTTATGTTCTTTATTGGGTTCTAATATTGCATTGACCATGTTTGTGGAGCACCTACGAAATGCTCTGCACATTTGAGATAACATCCAGTTATCTCAAGTCTCTTACCCTTTTCCTTTATTGGCCAGGAGACAGCCTCAGACCCATAATCTGCTCACTCTGAATTGTCCTCAAATCCAAGTTTTCCACATAGTTTTATTTCAGATCCTTATTGTTTCCTGGCTTTGGACTAGTATCTGTTACTCATAATCTTTTTGATTTTGATGTTTCTTTTTACATTTATGTATTTCTGTTTTTTAAATGTGTATGAGTGTTTGGCTGCATGTATGTATGTGCACCACAAGTGTTTTTGGTGCCCATGGAGGCCAGAGGGGGCATTGGATACCCTGGAGATAGAGGTGGTTGTGAACTGCCTTATGTGGGTGCTGGGAACTGAACATGGGCCTTTTGCAAGAGCAGCAAGCACTTTTATCCACCAAACCATTTTTCCAGCCTTTTATTGATTCCTAATAATACCATTCCAGTAATGTTTCTAAGTGTTTTTCTCTTTTAAAAGTGTTGATCATATTTAACAGCATTTAGAAACATCAGTAGCTCTCCCATACCACATGGAGAAAACTACAAAATCCTAAACACTGTGTGTGAATCCATTAGAACATGGCAGTGGACAACATGCACCCTGGACAGTGCACATTTACTGCAGTGTTAGGGCCTTTTTCAGCCATATGCTGTGTATACATTCCTCTCCTTGCTTCCAAATGCCTTTCTTCCCTGCTTCACTGAGAGAACATCACCTTTCAGGAATTTTGCCATTTCACTCTCAAGCATTGTGCTGGTCTCTTCTCTGTGCTTCCAGTATGTTTGGTTGATTCTCAGTTCACTGTAGCACTGCATTGCAAGCACTCATTTCTCAGAAGACAACCGAATCCCTAAACTTCTTCACCAGTCTTTCTGCTTGTAGCCTTGAGAGTCTTTTCTTACCTATATATAGCTCCTTTCCCCAATGCATTACTCATTATACAGTTGGCACTCGATGCATAATTTGGCGTTAATTCTTTTCTTTCACATGAGAAATGCAAAACCAGCATAGGAACTCTAAGTTTGTGCCTATAGTAACTTTGTGATGTAGATAGTGAGATGCAGGAATAACAGTAGCAGAAACAATCTATGGTGTCTCATCTTACACATCAGAACTTCTGCATTGGGAAAAACTGGGGGAAGTCACACAAACTTCTGAAGCTGAGAACTTAGAAACAGATATTTGTGCCCTGTGATGTTAGTGGTTACATCTCACCTAATGAAAAGGCCTCTGTGCTTGACCCCATCACAGAGATTTTAGGTCCCCACAGGAAACCTGTTGATATAACTGCTGTATGCTTCACTCTGCAGAGACAGCTGTTGGGGTTCCTGGCCAGGCACACTGAAACAGCAAGGCAGACAAGTGAAGGAGAATTGGGGAACAAAGGTGCTGCTGTGATGGGGAAGTCAGCAGTTTCAACAAGTGACTGCTAATTAAAAGATGAAGTGAAAGAACTAGGAAAACCAGATATCAGAAATGTAAAGCACAGATGTCTGAGGTGTCCTAAAATTAAAACAGAAAACCCAGCCATTTCTTAGCTCGGATTTCCAGTGATCAGTTATGTCACCAGGAAAAACTTGTTTCATTCCACTTACAGTTGTCTAGAACACGTATTGTAATTTAGATTATAAGCATGCCGGTTGGCTTTCACTGTGGCCTTTTCTCTTAGGTTCTTTTTTCCTATATGGATAAGTGAGTCTTGTGAATGTGCGCTCTGGGATGACTGCTTCTGTGTTTGTAGGCCGAGAGCAGCTTCAGTGAAGAAGAGGAAGAAAAACTTCAGGCTGCATTCTCTCTAGAGAAACAAGAGCTTCACCTCATTCTGGAAATAATATCGTTTATTCTGGAGCAGGTACTTTTATTTCCTTAATTTCCTATGTACTGCATATTTTCATGACTTTAATACCCATGGCTTTCTATATTTTTATATAGCTATGGAAGATAGAAACTATCAAGATGTATTAATCAAGAGTTTCAATATACTGAAACATTTTGAGTGCATGGCTTCTTTCCATAGTACTTCATTCTGCAGAAATAAATATGATCTAGCAGTAGTAAATATTTAACCGCGTGAATTGGGCCTTCATCTGATTTTAACTCATTGTTTCTTGGTATAGTTGGAAAAGTGAACACTTTTCATTGAAGAAGTTGAACAGGGTGGTATGCATTTGATTAGGAGGATATAGAAAAGAAATAATGTTGTGGTTTTTTTTTTTTTTAACTATTGAATTGCATTTCTATAGCTTTTCTTCTGAAACTCATTCCGTTATTTTCATCCCTGTTCAAGTCCTGTCACTTCAGCTGGGATCTCATAGTCCGGTTGCCTTCCCTTATTTGTGTTTCTTTGATCATTAGAGGAGGGCACACTGTTAGTCTTCCATTACTTCACACATGTCACTTTTGTTTCTGTCACTAGATTTGAATATAGTATGGGCCAGGATCTCATTTTTTGCACCTCTTTTTATAAGCCTAGCACATAGCTGAACTTAGAATAGATTTTTAGAAAATTCCTATCAGTCTATTAAATAGGATATTTGTGAAATAAAAGATTCAGGAGTACTGCAGTCTCACGGGCATTGCAGGGAGCAGACACTATTAGGACAAGCTGTCAGGCATCCGCTACCACCTGATGGAGGTTAGAGGTGGTATGTTGTCATGACAAACACCCAAGGAAACTTTAGGAAGGATGTATTTTGGCTCACAGTTTGATCCAGTGTGGAGGGATGTGGTGATATTTTCATGGACATTCCTGTCCACGGAGGCATAGTACTTGTATTTCCCAAGATTGGGAAGTGCAGAGCGTGCCCTGCACTTGGAGCTGGGTTCTAACACAAATGGCCTTCTTTCCAGTGATGCAGTAAGGGCCCTCTTCCTAAAGGTTCACAGCCTCCCCAAAACAGCCATCAGCCAGGGACCCCGCCTTTAAACACACTAGTCTGTGGGGAAGATTTCGCATTGAAGCCATAAAAGCCCATCCTTTGCCTCCACATGCTCATTGCATCTCAAACAAACAAACAAACAAACAAACAAATGCCAAGTTACATATTTTTAATGTTCAGTAAAGCAGGTTAATTATTCCCCTTTCACAAGGGAAGAATGGTGACATGCCATGGAAAAACTGCACCAAAGCAAGATGAATGCACATCAGAGAAACAGTAAGCTCTGTAGTTCCACGTCTAGCTTCTGGAACTTACAGAGGCATAATTTGGGTTCCAGTGGGCTTAGGCATATCTACAGCTCTGCTTCCTGTGGCACATCTGGGCCTGGCGTAGCTTCACATGGCACCTGCAGCTTTCCTTGGTGGATGACACCTCGGTTTCATCTTTGCAACTTTGTGAACAGCCCAGTCAGGAACTCCATGCATGGAGTCTCACCCTGCTACACACTGTCTGTTCTCATTAATTTTCTGGAACCTTGCTGCAAATGTCCATAATGTTGTAACTCCTGCATTCTGTATATCGTTGGAACCAGTACCGTGTGGGTGTTGCTGCCAGTTTCTGCTGCAAAGCCTGAGGTAGCTTAGCGTCCATTCACCACAGCTGCAGCATCCTTGGTGTGGGAGAACACTCTCATGGAGCTGTCTCTGTTTAGGCACTATGTGTTTTTCTCTTCTTTCAGATGAATGGTTTTCAGTTTTATGCCCTAGAGCCTTCAGTGGGTGGCATCTTGTTCCCAGGGTATCATTCCTATCATCCCAGTGCAAATGTAAAGTCCAAGGTTTCTTCTTAATCTCATTAATCTTCAGCAATTAGAGCCACTTTGTCTGTATCCCTCATACCTGTCCTGTCCTTAATTCTGACTGTGTTCCAGCTCCTTTTTCCCCATGTTTCTCTCTTTTTATTTTTCCTTACAAAACCTGGCTAAGGGTAGCAAGCAGTAACCACTCCACAGACTGTATACTGCCTTGAAATTTCCTTCACAAATGTGAATGCATTATTTTTACTTTATTTTGTGTGTTTTGTCTGCAAATGTGTCTGTGCACCATGTGCATGTCTGGTACCCTCAGAGGCCAAAAGAGTGTGTGGAGCTGTAGTTACTGAGCTGCCATGTGGGTGCTGGGAACTGAACCCATGTTTTCTGGAAGAGCAGTTAGTGGTCTTAAATTGCTGAGCCCTTTCTTCAGCCCCCAGTTCATTATTTTTTTAATTTAGCCTCACTCAAAAATCAGGACACATATAGAATGTAGCCACATGGCTTGTCAGAATGTAACATGAATGACTTGATAGAGTCCTTGTTCCTCTCTGAAGCCTCTTGAACATTGATGTTCTTGTCAGCATTTCTCTCAGAATCAGCGTCATGTTCTCCCTGCAGCCTTCTGAATCTTTTCTAGCCTGTGGCCCCAATCCCTTTCACCTATATTCCTCCCATATACTAATTACAAAGGCCTGTGAACCCCTTGGTCAGGTTTATCACTCCTGATACCACTTTCCTCTCTTATTTGTTGTTGTTATTGTGACCAAATACATGACTTAGAACAGGGAGGGTTTATTTTGGTTGATGGGTTTCAAAGGATGTAATGCATTTGGGAAGTCATGGAGGTGGGAGCGGCTTGTGACTGGGGCAGTGGGAGCAGGTTCTTCCAAAGAGAGTGCTGCTAGCTGGGACCTGTGCTCAAGCACTTGAACCTGTGAGGGACTCTTCATATTCAACCCTAATGGGGATCTTAATGATGACCGGTTCTTAGGCTTGGTGAACCTCCAGTAGGAAAAGAAAGGTAGTTGAACAGAGCAGCACAGGATGGGGTTTGTGGGAACATTGTTCTCAATTTATATAAAGAACAGAACAGATATTCTTAAAATTATTTTAGAATTTTCTTTTGTTATGTGTAACTGTGGTTGGAAGATAAAGGCAGTTTTGAAGACTCCTTGGGAAAATGTGTTTGCCGAGACCATTGTAAACCTTAGATAATTAAGTGAGGTAAATGAAATCAAACTTTACCAAATAATTTTAGTATTCTTTAAACCCCAAGCAAAATGAAACATTTAACCTAAGCAACTTAGGCCTATTAACCATGAGTTTTAGCTCTTTGTTTTGTGTATTGTTATTAATAGAACCGTTGAAAATGCCTGCAAGAGGGCCATGGAGTCTTTTCAATTTAAACTGTCTTAATGCTGGGCTTGGAGAGATGGCTCAGCAGTTAAGAGCACTTAGTGCTTTTGCAGGGAACCCAAATTCAGTTTTCAGAATCTGCTTCCAACTGCTTAAAAGCACCATAGCTCCAGCTCCAGGGGTCCAGTGCCTCTGGCCTCCACAGGCCCTGAACTTGCACTCGTGTGCACTTATTCCCAAATTCGTGTGAGCTTGTGTGTACGCACTCTCTCTCTCTCTCTCTCTCTCTCTCTCTCTCTCTCTCTC